AAATGAATGAAGAAGAGTAAATTGACTGGATATTAAAAGGGAAAATAGAAACATGGTAACCATAACATGGAAAAAAATTAAGTCAGTACTTGGATATTGTCCCCAGTGAAAGCATTCAATGAAAAACTCTGTACTCTCTCCATGGACATCCATATAAATAATCCCTGCCCATTCCTGGGATTCCTAGCCCCATTTGGACTGCCTTTCAAGACCAGTGCTCAGGGGTCTATACTAATACTCTGGCTATCATGTGGTAAGTAAATTTATCTCACCCCACAAAGAACAGAATACCGAGTTAGAAAATGTGAACATGACACAAAGTTTTCTTCATGACCCAGCTATATACTCTTTTCAGGGCTGCAGAATAGCATTCTGAAACTTAGTTGTTGAAACTAAGCTTTTTATTTTGGATGAAACTTACCAATACTATGAATGTGATGTCATCCAAGAATGATCAAATATTACAGTTTGGCATCATACTCAAATCATTGTTTTTTAAATTTTTTTTATTAATTTTTACAAATCCCACAAAATATATTTTGAACATAGTTAAGACTACTACCCCCACCTGTACCCCTTCATAGCTCCCCCACTGGATTTCATGCATTCTGTCATAAATGTTAAGGCCTACTGAGTCACGTTTGTGTTCTGAGATGTCCCTCTGTCTGAGTCCATCCACTGGAGCCTGGTTAACCTACCTAGAGTCACTCCCTTTTAAAAAAAAAAAAAAAAAAAAACCACTCCCTCTCCAGGTAGTTCTTAGTTGCCAATAGTTTCTCAACTAAAGTTGGAGCTTCTTATCTACGTCCCCACTTCTTTGCAGAGTTTTTGTCAGGTTTGAGTTTACATGGGTCTTGTGCACACTGTCACCATTGCTGTTAAGATCATATGAGCAACTTCCCAGCTGTCTGGAAAATTCTGTTTCCTTGTGGTCATCCACCACCTCTCCTCTTACAGTCTTTCTGCCTCCTATTCTTCAATGGTCCCTGAGCCTTGGGTGGCAGAGGTTTGATGTAGTGTTCTAGCACTCTGCAGTCTTGTTTTCTGCACTTTGGCCAGTTGTGGCTTTCTGGGTTAATTACCATATGTTGCATAAAGTTTTACTAAAGAAGTTAGAGTTGAAAGATGCATTAATATTATTTCTGTCCCCTGTCCTGCTCTGTTACCTGAGCCTTAGATGTATAGTCTGCATTGTAGATGTGTCACTTAGAGCTGGGCACCTCAAAGACACTTATTCTCTGCATCTGATCAGTTGTGGAACTGAGTAATAGTCTCTATCTTTTGCAAAAGAAGCTTCTTTAATGTTTTGTGAGAGGTACACTTGTAAGGCTAGTTGGGAGCTCTCTGGCAGCAGGAGCAGGAACAGGAAGACATAGGCCCAAGGCAGGTCAATGAAGACAAAGTGGGCTGGTTCCAGTCAGCTAAGCAGAGTAGATCTCAAATCACTGCTTTATGTGGTTAATCTTCTAGTTCACAGTCAGAGCATCCTATACTGGCCTGAGATTTTATTTCTATTTTTTTTTCTTCTGGCTATGAATTACATACTTTGTTTTAGGAACTAGTTATTGGTAGAAAATGAATGCAGATATTTAAGGCATCATGATGTCTTCTAGTAATAATATAGAAAAGCTTTCCTTGGGGTGGGTGGGGGTGGGGTAGTAAATTGTGGCCAAATCAATTCCACTGTTGTTAGTACTTTGGCTGTTACTCAGTGTTTTGTACTAGGGGAAGCAAAAGCATCCCTCAGGGTACTGCAGATATGATGTTTTTTAGTAAATACCAGATTCAATAATGAGATAATAAATTCAGGAATTCCCTGACGGTATTATATTGTAAATTCTTTGGGGGCCAAGAATCTCCAAGAGGTGATAATAAAAATATAATGAATAAGTACCATCACATATTTTCTTAATAAGAAATAAAAAAGAATAATCACACATATTAAATTTATAGACAATTCATAGATAAGAGTTTTCTTTCAGAAAGTTACACTTTCCTAATACACAGCGGCAATGACAATTCTTTTGCAATACTTAGTAACTAAGCAGTTCATAAATTACTACATTTCTCCTTACTTACTTAGTTTGAAACATTTCTCTAATCTCTAACTATGGATAGTTCATTGACTTATTGGCAGGGCTATTCAATTTGTCTTCAATTTGATTGCTATGAAATCAATGGGAAATAATGAAACACATCAAATTTCACATATAGTACTGTGATACTCCAATTATTTACTATCACGCAATGAAATAAACCTGTATCTCACCTAGAATAATTCAAGCTTTCTAATGTATTTATAATCTAAGTGTATTTCCTAGGAAAATAAATTTTACCTTAGAACCAAAATATAATAAATAAAATGTCTAATCTACATTATGCACATATTAAATATAAACTACCATCAATACAATATTCCTTTTAAGGTTCTAAACAAATAGGGAAAGAATTCTGTATTTCTTGTACTGACTAATAAACTCATCTATTAGCTTTAAATTTCTAATAAATTTTAAGCTTTAATAACAATAATAAAAATTTATGTCGGACGTGGTGGCACATGCCTTTAATCCCAGCACTTGGGAGGTAGAGGCACACAGATCTCTGTTGGTTCTAGGCTAGCCTGGTCAACATAGCGAGTTCCAGGCCAGCTGGGGCTACACGGAGACCCTGTCTCAAAAAGACAAAAAAAACAAAAAACAATTTACAAAATTCTATGTACAGAGAAATATTCTAGTTCTTAGATTTCATTTTAGATATACAACTATTAAGTAAGGTGGCACTGGCTTTGTTCAATAGCAGAAAGCAACAAAGAGTGCTAAAAATTAACTAGAAATTCATCCTTTAGTATTTAATGAGCGCTCAAAAACTGACAGTTTAGGTTTTCTTTCTTTTCGTTTTCATACAAAGTCAATATTACATGAAAGCTTCTATATTACTGTGCTACTTTCCCTAAATTACAGACAATATAGACACTATTATATGAACTATAGAAACTCAGAGCACTCCTTTTTATTTTATTTGGGGGGTTTTGAAAGTTGTGTTATAAAGTATTCATTAGGGCTTATTAAATGAATAAAAAGTTTTTAAAATTGATAAGAAACTCATCAAATTTTAAAAATTACCTTACTCAATTGTCAAGAAAAGACTACATTTTCAAATTGGACCTAGTATGAATAAAGTCCTGGATTTGATTTGAGATATTTAAAAAAAAAATGGGGCTCAAAAAATAACAGTGTTCAAAACCTTTACTAAAGATTTCTACTGGTGATACAGCTCACTGGCAAAGTGCTTTCCCAGTATGCATGAAGCCCTAAGTTCAATCTTCAGCACCACACAAGATCAAATGATTAATTCATTGCATAGAATTATAAAATATTGAAAGAACTAATAGATTTAAAAGATGTGTGCCACAACTTCAAGTTGCTTAATCTTATTTTTACTATATTACTCTAATTTTCATTTGAATTTCTATATATTAAGAACTAAATCTTCTTACTGCTTTAAATACTGCCCTTGGAATTCATTTTCACAAATAAAATATCCTATTACTTAAAATATATTAATTATTAATAATTCCAGTTATTAACAAAGCTGCCTTAGAAACAATTAGGCAAAATTTGTCTTAAAATACATTCTGTTCATTTAGAAAATACTGGAGAATACTGAAAATTCCTATTTGTTTCTCATTCATAAAAACAAGTTTCCTTTATGTTCTCATTGAATAACTTCAAATAACCATCATACAAACTTTCTAAAAGCAATGTAAAACTTAGACCACTAATACAAATTTCTATAACTATACAATATTTTTTAAAAGTGTTATGAAATGTTAAATGAATAAGTAGGCATACCTGGTAGAAAACAATATGTAATACGCAAGGAGCTAGCTTGCTTTTCAAAAGAGTTAATCAGTGCTGGGTAAAGACTACTTCCAGAAATATGAGTTTGCTTTGAGACTAAGTAATATGCCCTTAATTCATTATCCTAATATCTAGGATATATAATTTTTAACAGCCATAAAAATAGAGATTTCAGTAGTGTAAGAATAATCAGTACAAATAAGCTGCACATACAGTCTAGGAATATGAAAATAGAGGAGGAGGATGAAAGGGAGGGAGGGAGGGAGAGAGGGAGAGAGAAGGGAGGAGAGAAAAGCAAAGGGGAAGAGAACTCCAAAGGAAAGAATCTGGTTAAGAAACAAACTGTGGAAAGCAGTAAGAAGGCTCTACAACAATCCAGAAAATAAAAGGAGCAAAGGATAAAAACAGTAACTAAGGATGGACTGATGTGTGACTAGCTGATGATCTCGCCAGCTGTGCAAAATTTGGCACTGGTAAACACACAATCCATACCTGTGATTAAATAGCTGTTTTACTTATTTTTTTCAAAAACCTTATTTATAGCAATTTTATATTGTAATTATGAAAATTTACTCTAAAAAAAGATCAACTAAAATACCAGAAAAGGGAAAAA